TACCGTGACAATATTGCTATTTTTAGCACAATTCTATAGAATACAATGTTCAAGAAAAATTGCAATATTCATCATTTTTCAAAACTCAGATTGTTTGAATAATTCAGGTTAACAAAAGGTACCCCGCCAATTAAGATACATATATATATCATCAGTCTACAATTTCTCTCATGTTATTGGAACCACTTGTAATGGTAAATATTCTAAAATACTGACAAAATGTCTGCCTGATTCACTAAAATACAACCATCATTTATTCGAAAAATACACTGGTGCCGCTAAACTTTTTATTAATCAAATCCTTGCAATGACTAGAAGTAAAATTGACTGCACAATAGTTAATTACTAGGTGTTTTCATGTATAAATAGCTTCAACAAACATCAATGTTGTGAACAGTCTTTCTTTTTTTAAAGATAGCACACTATGGTTACAGGGTCTTATTGAAACTAGGTATTGAAACGGAAAGTGATCATTTGACTAATTCCCATTCATTTTATTGTTCTTTCTGGAATGTACTTTTTTTTAATCAACAACCAATTTGTTGGCCCACAAGAAGGCACTCATCAGTCACAGAGGGCAGTATATCCATGTGATACCTTGTTAACTAAGAACAGTTTCTATTAGTATGTGTAATTCAATTATTTTTCTGTCAATACAGGATTGTCCAATCTGTTTTGAAGAGTTATGTTCCAATTCTGGTTATGAAGAAAATAAAGCCAGCAGTGTTGTTTATAAACTTGATAAGTGTGGACATGTATTTCATAAGAGTTGTCTGGCTGCAATGTATAACAGTGGACCAAAGGTAATCTTAAATATTCATATCTGCAATATTGCAATTATTTACAATACATTTGTGATTGTGTCAAATATTCACACATAGCCAGAAATACTGTAAACCATAAATTATCTTTGCTGGGAATTTTTGTGATGACAGCATTTCATTGGTGTAGGTCTTTTAAACCCTTTTGATTTTTTCTCTGATCCGCAGAGTTTGTGGAAATTTGTCCTTCAAAACTGAAGGATTTACAGTATGTCCGCTGTCATAATTGATGCATACCGGTAGTAACAAACCACGTATTTGTAAATGCATTTATATACACTTCAAAAACAAACTGAATTTTATTAATGAACTCAGCAAAATGCAATAGACTGGTAGATACTAACTGGTGCCTTTTTTTTTTTATTAAAGATTGGCTTTTAATAAAGCAAGTACAAATGTATGATAACTGATAATAAAATAAGTGCACATGAACAACATAATTTCCAGTATTAGAAGCCACATCCCTAATAGAAGTTGCACCCATTCTTTTTGACTAATTCACCATTTCTCATATGTGCAGACGCTCTAAATGAAGCTTCAATCCCTTTGTGGCATTGTGCCATTATGGCTTCTCATATTATAGATTTTACAGTAGTGAGGGTAATTGTCTTAATCACAGGGTGAAACATTGGAGTATTGGTGCCAATTAAGGAATGGTACAGCATGTACTTGATGTCATTATATACAATCTTGTTATGTTCATTATTAAACACATGACATGAGCTGAGATTACTCAGCTGTAAGGCAGGCTGCTCGTAGATTTATTTGATGAATTTGTGTGTGTTCTTTTGTAGGATGGTAGTTTACAGTGTCCTACATGCAAAGCAATCTATGGTGTAAAGCATGGTAACCAGCCAGCTGGTAGTATGGACTATCATGTTATACCATATTCATTACCAGGATACAGAGAATCAGAGACAATTAGAATTATTTACAATATTCCACCAGGAACACAGGCAAGGATAACATATACATGTATACACATGTATATCAAATACTCTAAAATGTCTTTTTAGCTAGCTTGTTATGTCAACTAATTTCATTAATTTAAAATAAAATAAAATAAATACTCACAATGAGATTGTTGGCACTTTAGCTAAATCAGGATTCTGCTAATTCATGCATTGAGACAAATTCACTAAAATGACAGAAAATATCTTAGTTCTAATGTAACACTGCCAGTGTATTAATACTTTATTTACTTCATT